CTAACATGTCCTTCTGTCCTCATACATGTCCTGTACCAGTCTAACATGTCCTGCTGTCCTCATACGTGTCCTGTACCAGTCTAACATACTTCTCTGCCACTCCAGATTTCCTCATGCAGTACCACACCTCCTCCCTTGGCACTCTGTCAGATGCTTTTTCTAAATCCACAAAAACACAACGGAGTTCTCTGACCCTCTCTGTACTTCATCATCAGCATCTTCAAAGCAAAGATGGCATCTGTGATGTTCTTTCTTGGCATGAACCCATTCGAAACCCAACAACTATTAAGTGTTTGACAAGTGCCGAACACTTGTAAACGTCAATGTCTGTTTTTAATTATTTTGGAAACAAATTTTTCTTACTCCTACAATTTTTTTTCTGGTATACAAATTCAGTGGGGAACCTGTGACTAAAAGAGTTAGGTCTTCATATAAAATCCTTATGAATACTACCATCGAAGACTAAGAGTCAGCGTCCTTTTACAGCACTTTACTTTCAGTTCCGCAAAACAGTGACTTGCGAACAGGAAGTACTTTCCCAATTTGTATACATCAAATAAAACTTGTGACTGATGGTATCATTTGTTTTACAGTCACTAACAACAACCTGAACATAAATACCAACCCAACACTAAATGATCAACCAACAGGATCAACCCATCTGAACACAGAACCTAAAATGTCCACACTTTCTGTCCTAACAGTGAAGTCCTAACCAATGAGAGCTCCTTCTGTTTCTGCATGGAGACAAAAAAATTTAAATAATCTGAGTGGATAAGTGTATTTTTATGAATTAAAAAAGTTATTGCTCGGCTGCAAAATAATTTACAGAAAATAAATTTGAAAACAATAAAAACTATATTGACAATATTTATTTTCAAGAAAATTAATAAATAAAAAATACCTCTATTTCAGCTGCCCTCGTCTTAGGGGTCGTCACAGCGAGCAAACTCGCTCTTCTTTAATTGTTTCCCTTCCAGATGCGACATGGACTTGAACCCTCAACTTCAGAGTTACAAGACCATGGCAGTGACCATTGAGCTACCACAGCCGGTATTTTATATAAAATAAATATTAAAATAAAAATTGTACTGTAACATTTCATATGAGCTGAATTCTTAGGCCTTCTCTGAAGGTGTGGAAGGCACTGAACAAGTTATCCATCAAAATGTAGGGATGTTTGTCTTCTTTCCCAGAGCGTGTCTCACCCGCCTTGAGGTTTTCTCTTAAATCCCTCCTAAAATGCAGAGTTCACTCCCAAACGTCCACAGAATACAGTTACGTTTTAGCTCAACATATCGTCGTCAAGACTAGAAGTGTCTTTGTAACTTGTCATATCTCAAACTCGTAGAAACGTAAGAATTCACAAGTGTGACCTTCAGAATCTTCGGCTGCTCGCGGTTCAAGAGTTTTCAAGATCTGATTTGTACTTTTCACACAGAAACTGTTTGTTCGGGGCTTAAATTTCAGCCTGGGTTTCCGTCTGCCTCTCAGTAACTTGGCAGTCAGGGAGTGAAAGACACAGGTGTGAAGTTACCATGGTGACCATGGCAGCAGCGTTAACATTTGTTTTGATCTTGGTTCCATTTAAATCTTCTTAAATGGCGCGTACATCAAAATGGCGGCAGGTTTTCTTGGCCTTTTACAAAGTTACGTTGAGTTTTGAACAGCAGCTGTTTTGCCGCCTTTTAAAATGTCTTCTGGACATTTCTAGTTTATGCTCCTTATTGTCTTTATTTTTTATATGCAAACCAATAGACACTGCTGATGTTTTTACCAGATGGTGTCTGAGTGTCTGGTTGATGTTTACCATCTCGTGCAGGGAACGTCGGTGTGCCAGGTGACGGTTATCGGAGCCATCGTCATCCTCCTGTACGCCTCCAGGGCCTGCTACAACCTGGTTGTCCTCGGACTCTCCAACAAGAGCATTAACTCGTTTGACTACGACTGGTACAACGTGTCGGACCAGGTGAGTCAACGGGACGTTGCAATGCTACGCAAGAACGGTCTTGACGAAATCACTGAAACTATTTCCTTGCCAAGTTAGTTGGTAGGTCTCACTGAGGGTGAAATCTTAACACCTGCAGAGGTGAGCAATCCACAAACTGTTTGAGTCAAGAAGTCAATCCATGAAAAAAGGACTTGTTTACAGGGATCTGCACACTAAGCGCTGCTCTAACTGGCTGCTTACCTAGATTTCACCCTTTGTAAAAACAAGGTCCAGTGTTTCCCCTAGTTTACTTCCCTTGCCAGGGTGCTCATATCCTCTGTGATTTTTGCAGACGGGGTGGACAGCGACACGTCTGTGTTGCACACTGTCGCTGTTTGTACCAACAGTTTTCGAGCGGGAGTGGGGGGAAGCATGGAGACAGCTCAGCGGGAGAGAAACGTAGCGCTACCTCTGTAGCTTTTTAGCTAGCGCGTCTGTATTGCGTGCTAGCTATAGCGCAGTTAGCTTAGCGCTACATCAGTGCCGGCAGATGGGTGGGGGGCAGGCAGTTCGGTAGGCAGGGCGCTCGGTTCGGGTTCGGTAGGGAAAACACTGATGTATTTCTTGTAGGAGTTGCATCTACTAGTCAACCAGTCAATTCTAGGACATCTCGCAAGTTTTTAAATTTCACATCAACTAGTCGCAGTCACGCGATTGTGCCGCCGGGCGCTGGCTAGAGCTGTTATTTCTAACCCGGGTCAAAATAATGTGCTGGATGAGCGAGTCGGTGTCTGGGTTTTGATTGCGTTAGTGGACGCGCGCGGCCAACGATCCAATTTGGATCACCGGCCGCGGCGCGCTGACCGGCCAGTTGAAAGAAGTAAAAAAAAAAAGTCCAGATGGCTCACTGCCAGCTACCCACCTGAAGCTTAACTGGACTGGACCCAGCTGCCGCATCAGCGGGCGGTGTAGATTCCACCTGCACCCGTTTTATTTAATCCACGGTGGTGAATTCTACCACCGGCCAACCCGGTTTTTAGTTTTGTTTTTTACGTGCCACACGCTTCTTTCACTTTTGAAGCTTAATAATAGTTTTCCTGTGACTTATTTGCAGTATGATAAATGATAGGAGCATAAATATTCAGTCCTGATGTATTGTTGCTCTTTTTTATTGTAAATAATGAATTACGTTTTTTTTGTGAATATGATATAGCGTTTCGAGTTCCTATACGTCACAGCGACTAGTCATCCTCGACTTTTATCATGTTGAAGTCAACTTTAAAAAACATGAAGTCGTGCAACCCCTACTTTCTTCTCAGATCTCTATTTATTTGACCACACCTTGATCGGAAATCAAATTCCAAGGGCATCAATAGCAATAAAGTAAGGTTTTTAAAAAGAAGACCAAGTCTGAACAACAAGGTGCTGAGAAAATATAAATTTATTGTCATGAGAGGTCCTTTGCTTTTTTTTTTATATCACTTTCTAGATAACCCTTTGATGAAAACTACATAATTTGTAGAGAAATTTACAATGGATGAACGGGTGAACTTTATTATCCACCTGTACGCTGGTGAAGATTCTCAGTCATCCAGGACATGGTCAGTTCAAAAAAGTTGAAGACAAACAACTGGACTTTATTTGTAACAGAAGACGTCTCGCTTCTCATCTGAGGAGATTTCAAAGCACAGAGAGTGTGGGGTTCACGTTATAAAGCTGAGCTAAGCTAGATACATATGCAGATTACCCTTTCAATCCTCACAATAGGATTTTGTTCTCCTTGGATGAGAAGCGAAACGTCTTCTGTTACAAATGAAGTCCAGTTGTTTTTTTGTCTTGAACTTGTTTGAACTATCCATCCATCTTTTTATTATCTGCTGCTTTTTCTGGTGCTTGGTCTTGAAGGTAGCAGCTTGAGCAGATATGTATTTTCACAGTCGCCTCTTCCAGGAGGACTCCAAGCTGTTCCCAGGCCAGCCAAGAGACTCTCAAGCATGTCCTGGGTTTTCCCTAGGCTCTCCTCCCAGTTTCACATGCCTGGAAAACCTCTATAGAACCACTTCAAGGGAGCATCCTTACCAGATACCTGAACCAAGTGGCTCCTCTGGATGAGGCAGAGCAGCAGCTCTACTCCGAGTCTCTCCTGGACTGCTGAACTTCTCACACCATCTTTAAGGGAGAGTCCAGTTACCCTACACAGAAAACTCATTTGGACCGCCTGCATCCACAATCTCATTCTTTCAGTCCCTACCCAGAGTTCATGATTGTAGGTGAGGGTAGAAATGTAGACCGACTGGTAAACAGAGAGCTACTTGCAGCTCTTCTCCCTCTTCACCACAACGGACCGGCACAGAGTCCACAATACTGCAGACGCTTCACCAATCCACCCATTGACCTCACGCTCCATTCTTCCCTCATTTATGAACAGAATCCCAAGACATTTAAACTCCTCCACGCGAGGGAGAACCTCCACCACCCAAAGAGGACAGTCCTTTTCCAACTGACGACCGTGGTCTCACATTTGGAGGTTCTGATCTTCGTCCCAGCTGCTTCACACTCGGCTGTGAACCGCTCCAGTGAGAGCTGAAGGTCACGGCACGATGACGTCAACAGGACCACATCATCTGCAAAGAGCAGAGGCGGAATCCTGAGTTTGCTGAGCCGGACCCCTTCTGCCCCACTAACTTTTTTAATTTTAATTAAAAATGTTTCTGCAGGTGATCAGCTAATGGGTCACTTTTAAAACAAGTTACATTTGTGCTAAACTATCTTAAATGAAGTTTTCGTATCTTTGCTGCTGGTCTAATGAACCTCTAGTGAACTCTGGACCGTTCGTGATGTTTGAACTTTGTTTTTAGGCAGATTTACAGTCGACCCTAGGCGACGCTGGTTACATCGTCTTCGGGGTGGTTCTGTTCGTGTGGGAGCTGCTGCCGACTTCTCTGGTCGTTTTCTTCTTCAGGGTGCGGAAGCCTAACTTGGACCGGGTGAGCCTGCAGCAACTCTCGGACTGAAAAAGCTTCAGGAACATGAAGTGCTTGATCAAATGCTCGTTACATCTTTTATTCACAGACAGTTTTTTTTGTGTGACTTGCAGAGCGGCTCTGGTCTTCCTGGTCACGTCTTCTCTTCTAGAGCTTATTTCTTCGACAATCCGCGACGTTACGACAGCGACGACGATTTAGCGTGGAGCGTCATGCCTCAGAACATCCAAGCGAGGTAAAAACAACACAACGCGACT